CCCCCCCGGATTATTCACTGCCTCCAAAACACATCCAGGCTTCAGGAGGCAAAGCTCAGACGTTAATGGATGGTGTGTGGGGCACAGGATTGGCATGTCTGAACGCACACTGCAACATTTCTGGCTGGGATGGGCAGTCTCCCCAGGCACTAACACCACAGACCAAGTGCGAAAGGCTTTCATGCAGACTAAGATGGTTACGTGCAAAGCGAGAAGGTGAAAGGTCCAAGTACCAGGTCAAAGGTTGCCTCGAGCGGTCGCTTCAGTGATCTGACAGCTGGCTGAGTCTTAATTAGCAGGCAGCGAGCACATGATGGCAATGGGCCGGGGAGGGGGGTCAAGCACAGTAACAAAAACAGCAAGCAGAGGTGTGTCAAGAGAGAGCAACAATTTGGGGAGGCGAAGAGAAAAAAAAAAAAGTGAATGCATTATACAATATATTACAAAGACGAGGCATGCACAACGTGGGGCTGGGTAATTACCTGGCCTAGCGGCTACTCAGCTATTTTGCCTCGGTAAGGTTTAAAAGTAAAGAGATGTCATCACAGGACATGTGCTTCAGAGCTTTGTCACCGCGGCTGGCACAGCGGGGCAGGAGCTCGGGGATTAGCACCTCCAAGTGGACTTGCACTGGGCTTCAGCCCTAATGCTGCAGCTACACGCCATGCAGAGGCCAGCAGAGAGCTGTGGTGAGTGAAGGACCACTGGCAATGGAGAGAGCTTCAAGCACATGCTTAAGTGCCATCCTGAACTGGGGACCGAGCCTGACCCAGTTCATCCAGTGCTGCACTGACTTCAGCCAAGCAGGAGTGAGTAAAGCTACTATCTGTGCACATCAAGTAACCACAAGATTGGATCCCTCAGAAATTCTGAATTTAGATTTGAAGTCATTCCAATATGGTTTAGAAGGTACACCCATTTGTCTGGCATCTGTTTTTCGGTCCAAGAAAATGGGACACAATTCTTCCCTTTTTACTGAAGCCTTACACCTCAACAGGTACAGTAAATGCATCAAACCTTGAAAAGTCAATGAATAATGTAAGCTGTTTTGGTAGCAGGGGTGATGCAACAAGCCATCAATAAATATTTTAAAGGTTCTAGTTAACAGCATACAAATAAGGTTAATTACATTTTTAAGAGAAGCCAGCAGCATGAATAAAACATGCATTGGCTTTGGTTAAGTAGAAGTGTCCTAGATAATTAGTGAAAAAATGAAGATTCAATTGTAAGAAACACAAGAGTTTCATTTCAGAAGGTTATTTTTCAACAGAGCTGGGCTCTTATTTCAACAATAATAAAAATAGTAAGAAATCTAATAAATAAACTCTGCAGGACAAATACTGCAGCATAAATTGGTTCTTCAAATTACACTCCAGGTAATATTCAAGCTACAAGGAGGGCACTTGTTTAGTTTCTAGACTCATCCTGGTTTTGCATTATGTTTCACCATGAATGAAAACCAACCTCTTTTACTGCCTTTAAAAAAAGGTATTTAGAAAAATTTTAGTAGCCTTAATTCTAAATCAAGGAGGAGCCAAGAGCCTTTTTAACGTTAGTTAATAAGAAAACCCAAACAACAATCACAGAACATACAAAGGTGGAAGGGGTGTCTGCAGATCAGCTAGACCAACACCCTGCTCAAAGCAGGGTCAGCTAGAGCAGCTTGTTTAGGACTGCATTCAGGCAGGTTCTCCATATCTCCAAGCATGGAGAATCCTGTTGTAGTGTTTGATCTTCCTTTGGTAAAGAAAGTTTTACTTAGGTTTAAATGGAATGTCCTGAATTTCAATTTGTGCCCATTAGTCCTTATCCTTTCACTGGGCACCTCAGGGAAGAGTTTGTCTTCTTCACCTCCTGCATCAGGAATTAATACACATGGGTAAGATCCCCTGGGCCTCTTCTTCCCTCCCCAGCTCTCTCATCTCTGGAATAACCAGGTGCCATTAAACTGAATTCAACAGAATGTCAAACATTTACTCCAGTTAGGAGTTTCATCTGGTAAGTCCTCCTTGACTCCTTTTTAGAACTGTAGACATAAGAAGTCACAATTCAAATCAAAATGCAGGTGAGACCATCTCTACCAGGTCCAAAGCATCAAAGAGGTCAGGAAGTCACCTTTGGTTTGAGCCTTGTAATTTCACTAACCCTTGGCAAAGGTATCAGGCACAGTTTGCTAAGCTCAAGCAACTGATGTCTTGTCTGCTT